ACTGAAGTGAAAATGAAAGGTAACGGAATCCGTGCTTGTGAAAAAGATAAAATCGCTGAAAATCACCGAAGGAAGTGTGAAACAAGTTCGTAAACACGGTCGTCGTGTTTCTCATTGACAAAGAGGGATGTTCGTTGAAATTCATTAGCTTCAGTGTTGATTATTTTTAATCAACCAGAAAAAGACGAAACAGAGCTAAACACATTTGAAATTAGTCATCGGATGATTAATGCCGTCATTAACTTGAAATCTACTTTAATTGGTCCCAGAGGTGCAAGAATTTTTCCCTGCTGACATATCATTTAGCATGAAGTCAGAAGTCGATTCGTTTTAGGGATCTCTCATGCGCTCTCACGTTTCGAGATCTGCACTGAATTGCTATTAATCAATAATAATGCTACAGTCATTCCCAAGAGTTGGACAAACTGAAGATCATTTGGTCTTGTGGTGATTACTGAGTACGGGAAGAAATAAGCCCCGTATGCAACTCGTAGGACGCGTTACATGTAGTTTACAACATCGAGCGCGGAGACGGCGATCAAACGTGGGCTGCAAAGACCTACGGGTATTTGAATATCCGGATTAACGAGCACTTATCTCAGTCGGGCTGACTGCTGGTATTGTATAGCATGTGCTCTCTGAGAAATACTCCTTCTGTCACACGTATGAGTCCGCAGTCGACAAGGACCGGTCATAGATTGATCGCTTATTAATGAAGTCCCTGCATATTCTGACGTTGAAACATGGTGTCTGCGATGAATATCACAACTTCTTGGTGATAAGTAAAAGCTGGAGTACTGCTGCCAACTTGGTAGGAAAATTTGGAACGACATTATAAGCGATTGATATTAAACTGTAAAATTTAGAGTTATATAATCTTTGATTAAAATTCGGTGTTTAATCAGCATCCTACTTTTAATTAATCCATTTTTACATTAGAAGATAGAGTGATTCGCCCATGCGTCATACTGTAAAAGCGGCGTAAAACAGGTTTAATTATACATATTTTTGGGCTGTGTTTTGCCAACTTTTTCGCGGTGCCCTTTTGCATCAGCTTCAGTCTATTTCGAAATTTGCTGAAACAGGATCTAGCTGCCTGCATATCAGTTGAGCCCTGGCGATTCGCAGCAAAACGTGTTGCCAGTGGTACACCAATATGTACATTATTTCTGCAATTTTGTCTTGCAGTGTTTTGTCTTTAGCTTCGCAATCCGTAGCGATAACATGGAAAACTCGCAATTTTCGCTGGTTAACGATCAAACCTCCACGAGGCCGTTGGAAGCTGCCCCGCTTGCTGCTCTATCAGAAGTGACAGCAGCCGGTAAACAACAAATCTTTGTCTGTCCAATAACACCGAGACAGAAACCCATAATTAGGTTTCGCGAAGACGACTTTCGCGTAATGTTGACTTAAAGTGAAACACATGATTTATTGTTGCTTTGATGAGCATGGTCCAGGCTGGCGAAATGGTAAGATTCCTGCAGCTGTTCATAGTGCATGGGAAGCACAGTTTTTCAGTGAAATTTGTAAGGCCATATAATATATAAATAATTGTTAAACTGGACTGCCGCTTGCCTTCTGTAAGTCCATTATTGCAACTGGTTGTGAAAGCGAAGACACAATAGCAAAGGGGTCCGCTTCGAACAACGGGAAAAGACAAAATGCA